TATATATATATATATATATATATATTACTCAGAAAAAAATCATAAATATACACTTTATATGCAACAAAAAATTAATATATCTATTTTCACTATGAAAAAAATATAATGAAAATAAAATGATGGATATGCTGTTCAAAGAAGATATGGTGCTGACGGTCACCCTGGATAACATTAAACTGGTGGAATGATCTTAATAAGATGATGATTTAATAACAAATGTATAAAGAATATTTAGCTCTGATGTTTATTTAATTGGTTATTTAACAGGGATCTCATTGTTGGTCTGATCACACTCTAGGTGTTCATCCCTGCTTGAAGGAACTAAAACTGCCTCTCTCCAGATTGGATTAACCTCAGCATTCCCTTGCCTTACAATACCCTTGCCACGGTATCAGTAGCTTAGTGCAAGTGCCACGGAGTTTGTTTTTCATCCGAACACATCAGTGGTCAAGAAAATACAATGCCGGGTCAGATTTATTGTGGAAGAAATTGTGAGATCAGCTTGACAATGCTGGGAAATGGAAAGTAAAATCCAGGATTCATTTGGTAAACTGGTCTGTAAGTCTTTGTTTGTCTACAGATGAAAGCAGATTTTCTTACTTTTATTTATTACGGTATTTATTTATTTATTTATTTTTTTTTTTAATCTCCAGATAAGGAAATTGTGTGTGGGTCTGAATGAAAGCTGATATTTTAAATCTCTGCCTGGAACCTTTCTGGATGGAGCTTTGAAACTTTCCTCTAATTTATTAAAGTGAACTAGATCCTTAGCGTTTTGTCTTGTTTTCTCTCTTGTTTTTTATTTTTATTTATTTATTTATTTTTTTTTATTACAAATGGCCAACAGAATAACCAGCATATAAAACTGGTAAATTGAGTGAATTTATAAGTTGAACTTTTCCAGCCATTCTAAGCACTTAAAGCACTTTACACTATAGGCACATTTATCCAATTGTGCTCCAGTGCACAAACATTCATCCACTGATACATAGAGATAGACAAATGACTTGTTCTTCTTGGTTTATACAAATTAAAAAGAACATGAATACCATACAATTGGGAAAAATATTCAACAAAGGCCCGACAGTAGCCTACCTGGAACATGCATTGTTTTCCAAATATTGTCTGCTTAATGTCATATTTACAGCTAACAGTAGATATTGGGAAATTACATGTAATAACATTCAATTATAAAACAAAAATTTCCAAAGTATGATTAGAAAAAAACAAATAACACAAAATATACAGATCCAAAAATAAACAAGAATGCTGGATACCTAACAAATGTGAGGCGAGAACAACGTATATCTAATAAAGAAGAATACCGAGAAACGTCAGTCCAAGTGAAAATCCCTCAAGATTGTGACAAGTTATACCAACCCTGCCATATGTGAAGAATTAATTGCCTAGTAATTGCCTTGTAAATATGACAATAGCCCCCATATTCTTGGGTAAAGGCTAATTACACTACAAAGAACCCTAATTTCTTTGAGACTTAAGTGTACCACAGTTATAGCTGTTATCCATTAAATGTTGAAAACATGGAAAAAGTGGCCATGCATCCAACAGTACCCCAACAGTACATTGACGTCTCATCTAGTAGACCAGAAAAGATCTCAAAACAACATCTGAAGCCTTGCAGGCCTCATTTGCCTGAGCTAAGGTCCATGTTTATAATTCAGAAATTAGGAAGAGAGCAGACAATAATTACCTGAATCGGTACTGACTATGAAGAACATAAAGGTCTATCTCAGATTTACAAAAGAAAATTAATAATCCTAATAACTATAAAAAAGTATAGTAAATAACCTTCCCATTCAGAATACGTGCTTGTGGGATTTGTTTTAGTTATAAGAGGCAACAGTTGACTAACAGTTTATAAAACACCTCAAGAAAACTTTGTCCATCTTTATTATAATCTGATGCGTGAATGATGGACATTTGTCGGACATTTGTCGTACATTTCTGTATGTCTCACATTTATGCACACTGAGGCTAAAAATTTGTTAGAAATCAATCAAAGCATGTTTGTATTTTACAATTACGGTTCAAATTCTTAAATGTGGCTGTAGGTTTGCAGTGAAAATAAATTATTTCCAATAATGGGTAAGAATAAGTAAGAACAGTAATTTATCATGAAACATAGACTTCATTTCAAGCAGAAGGGAGTAATTAAATCAAAGGACATTATACTGTGGTGCTATCTTAAAGTCAATTATCCATCAGACTTGAGTTCGTCACTTCCTTACAATCCTCCCATAATCTAATTTTTCTAATTTGGGGATAACCCTGAGCAGGTATAAACCACTCAAGATCCACACAAACTACCAGTTGTCAGGTTGACATTGACCACTCCAAGGCTTTAGGCAATTCTATCAGTTGTAGCATCTACACACAAGACAACCAAAGATGGGCTGGGATGGAGGATACGAGCCCAATGGCACTGAGGGAAAAAACTTCTACATACCGATGTCCAACAAAACCGGCATTGTCAGAAGTCCCTTTGAATACCCACAGTACTACATGGTGGACCCAATGATGTTTAAGGCCCTAGCCTTCTACATGTTTTTCCTGATCTGCACCGGAACTCCCATCAACGGCCTGACGTTGCTTGTTACAGTTCAGAACAAGAAATTACGGCAACCCCTCAACTACATCCTTGTGAATCTGGCCGTGGCCGGGCTCATCATGTGCTGCTTTGGCTTCACCATCACCATAACATCTGCTTTTAGTGGTTATTTCATTCTTGGATCCACCTTCTGCGCTATTGAAGGATTCATGGCAACACTTGGAGGTAAGACAAAAGCTCCTTAAGACTTAACGAAGATCATTTCACTGTTTGGCCAACATTTAATGATATCTTACATTTTTTCTCCCTACAGGTGAGGTTTCTCTCTGGTCCTTGGTTGTGCTGGCTATAGAGAGATATATTGTCGTATGCAAACCCATGGGCAGTTTCAAATTCACTGGAACTCATGCCGCTGCTGGAGTCCTCTCCACATGGATCATGGCTCTTGCTTGTGCAGCACCCCCACTTTTTGGGTGGTCCAGGTAAACCTTTGTTGACCCAAATTGATCTAATGAATATTTTTATTAGCTCTGCAAGAAAAAAAAAGTTTTCAATCACAGTAGAGGTTAAACTACACTTGTCTCTTATCTATTTTTTGCGTGTATTCACATCATTTTATTGTTGGACATGTTGTACAGGTACCTTCCTGAAGGCATGCAGTGCTCCTGCGGACCTGACTATTACACCTTGGCTCCAGGATACAACAATGAATCTTATGTCATCTACCTGTTTGTGGTTCACTTCTTCGTTCCTGTTTTTCTGATTTTATTCACCTATGGAAGCCTTGTCATGACAGTCAAAGCTGTAAGTAAAAATTATGCAAGTAACCTCTTACAGCAATTCCTTGTGATTAAGTTGTTATGCACTAACTGAAGGAGCTGTTTAAGTGTTTAATAAGTCATTTCCACACTAAACTCTGCAGGCCGCAGCTCAGCAGCAGGATTCAGCTTCTACTCAGAAAGCTGAGAAGGAGGTAACACGTATGTGTGTCTTGATGGTGTTGGGCTTCCTGGTAGCCTGGTTGCCATATGCAGCTTTTGCCGGCTGGATCTTTCTTAACAAAGGAGCAGCTTTCTCAGCTCTGACTGCCTCAATACCTGCTTTCTTTGCAAAGAGCTCAGCCCTGTACAATCCAGTTATCTATGTGCTGATGAACAAACAGGTTGGTTATTCTGCAGACTCCCGAGTCCATGTTTCATGCATTTATATGTGCTGTCTGAACCGCTGTCCTTGCTCTGTCTTTTAGTTTCGTAACTGCATGCTCAGCACCATTGGAATGGGCGGCATGGTGGAGGATGAGACCTCAATTACAACTAGCAAGACAGAAGTCTCTACTGCTGCTTAAAGACCAATTGTCTTATTAACCATTTAACAGTTGGTTTGGGCTAAAACCTGCCCCATGAGCCTCTAGGGCAGTTTGGTGGCCAGTGGATTGTTAATGAATGATGATCTTTTTAAATCTGTGGGCACGTCCTTGAAGAATAGCTTTTTGAGTTTAATAGAGCCCAACCAAAAACAAATACTTTTGCCAAATTATTTCATGAATTAAACAACTTAGGACCAAGGAATTTGCTCATGTTTGGCTATGCATGGAAAGTATCAAGTGTAAATTTTATTTTTGAGTTAATTTTGTACAGCAGCTTTACGAATGAATGTCTAAGTATGTATGACTAAACTTGGATCTCCCTGAACACCTCTACTATATACACAGGATGTGAACCACTGAAAACCTTTAATTGTTGAATGTGCAATAAAGTATGAAGTGTTTCTTTGTAATTATGAGGAAATATGTGTAACTGGTCAAGAGTGACATTATTTTTATGCATTTTGAAAAAACAAACAAAAACAACACATAATGTTGACTAGACAATAAATGCATTATCAGAAACAGTGTGGTTGTTTTTTTGTTGCTTACGAAGCTGATATTTGACAATAGAATGCAAATCATTCTTAAAATAAGTAATAACTATTTTGCATGTTCTTTTCTGTACCAACTTAAGACGGTAAAACATTCATTATATTACATTTTTTTCCGTATTTAGTAAGTTCTCTTGTCCAGTTTTAACATGTTCCCTGTCTTGCTCCTTATAACTAAAACAAATCTCATATTTCATTTGGGACCATGAACAATCAAAGAATATCTTAGTTTTCTTAAATTCCTAAATATACAGTGAGGAAAATAAGTATTTGAACATCCTGCTCTTTTGCAAGTTCTCCCACTTAAAAATTATTGGGTGGTCTGAAATTGTCATCATAGGTGCATGTTCTCTGTGAGAGACATAATCTAAAAAGATAAAATCCAGAAATCACAATGTATGTTTTTTTACACTATTAGTTGTATTATATGGCTGAAAAGAAACATTTGAACACCTGAAAAAAAACTATGTTAATATTTGGTAAAGTAGCCTTTGCTTGCATTTAAAGATATTAAACGTTCCCTGTAGTTTTTCACCAGGTTTGCACACAATGCAGGGATTTTGGCCCACTCCTCCACACAGATCTTCTCTAGATCAGTGAGGTTTCTGGGCTGTCACTGAAAAACATGGTATGAGCTCCAAATAAATATTTGAACACCCTGCTATTTTGCAAGATCTCCCACTTCGAAATCATACAGGGTTCTGAAATTGTCATCGTAGATGCTTGCCCACTGGAGTTTTTTAAAAAAATCCATGAAAATTTTTTTTTTTTGTTTGTTTGTTTCTTTTAATTATGGTGTTCAGGAGGTCAAAAAAACATTTATTATATTTTCCTATTCTCTAAAAATTTGTGTAATAAGAAATGTAAACAATAAAAGTAAACATTTTAGTGGAAGTGAGAAAAAAAGTGTGATTGAAGAACTGCTGGATAAATTAGGGGAAAGCAAAGATAGATTTAAGAAGTGAATTGCATCTGCTAACTCATCTACTGCTGCTAGCTTTATTGCAAACACGGAAAACCGTTCACAGATCTAACAGCTAGCGCTCTTATGCAGGTATGTGAATATTCTTCAACCCCCCCCAAAATCCTCGAAATAAATGTTATCAGTTAAAAAATGTCAAGTTCTGGTTGTAGTTTGAGTAACCAAATGTAGAGGCAGAGGTGAGTTCTTGAAGTTTTTTAATTAATTAACACAGATAACAGAGGCAGGAATCCAAGAATCTAACATGAAAAATGTAAAACAAACCAGAACCATGGAGACATCAGGGGAAAACAACCATGAGGATCCAGGGAGAGATGGGAAAAGACGAAGTAACATGAAGTAAGACAAGGAACCAACACTGAGGAACTATACAAGGAGAGTATTTATGGTAGACTGAATAAAAGAGAGGACTAACGAGCAGATTTGGAGCAGGTGTGAAGGGAGCAGTCTGGGAAGGAGCTACATGTAGGGAAAAGAAGACCAAAACAATAAAACTAGAAAACATGGAGCAAAGTGAAACATAACAGAACCAAGACCGTGACAAAAAATGGGTGCATGTCAAAAATGTATTTTGTAAACCCTGTTTTACTTTTTTTTCACTGACTGGTTGTAGTTCGTTTTTGTCAGCATTTGGAAGTACAAAAAAACCCGTCTTGGTTGTGTACCAACACTCTAAAGGGCTTGTTAAACTCCTGCAGCAGTGTGTCCCAGTGAGCTTGTCGCAGATACTTTTGATTGATGCCCAAAATTGAAGCGAGGTCTGTGCTATGTTATTCCTCACCACAAAGCAAGAGGGAAAATCACGAACTAGCTCTTGGTCTAGATTAAACTTGCCCCCACTTCTTCACCGCCGAAGCGGTGAAGAAGTGGGGGCAAGTTTGTGCAACAACGGAGAGAGATGAAGGCGAAAAAGAGCGGGACCTGTTGGAGAAGACGACTCTGTGGCCACATTAGCAAAGGATCCAGGTGTTGGAGGTGCCAATGCTATTTATTTATATGCTTTGTTTAGATTTCAGTTTTTTATGTGAAGCTGCATTGCTACTCTGTTGAGTGCTGAAAATGTTGTTAGCCCACCATTTCACAGGAGCTAAGGCTCTCTGCTGATAAAATTCAGGTCATTCATTTCTCTATATTTCGGAACCTCATTCTTTTTCATTTTTTGCAACTCAGAGGGATGTGTTTTTTTTTTTTTTTTTTATAAAGAACCCCTGTAATTTGAAGCTACGTGTGCTGTATTAATCCTGGCTTTATAAAAATTATACCCTAGGAATGCTGGTGATGGAGGATTTGGGATTTTGGGGTTAGAGAGCACTACTCTGATGAATATCAGTTCCTGCTTGGTTCCTCATGACTCAATCAACTTCTCCCAACAGAAACACATCCACCATAGATTGCTATTCCATGTTTCCATCAACTTAAAGGACTGAATATCATACAGCAGAGTAGTCATATGATGTGACATTTGCTCCAGGATAAACATTTAATCATGAATGCTTATTATATCTTCAGCCCACATAGTCCTTTTTTTTTATAGCGGGCTAATACACTTAGAGCCTGTGCTGCCATACAAGGCTTATATAAGACTTTTACATTTTGTGGTTCCTGAGAGATTGTTTTTTTGGTCCAATATGGCTCTTTGAATAGCTAGGTTGCCGATCCCTTCAATAGAGGTTAACTGCAGAAGATCAAATGAGGACTGAAGTAGATTAGATAAGTCTGAAAAGAGCATTACAGGCAGGGAGGCCTCATGGTTTTGTGAGATTTCCCATCTAACATCTAATTTTTTCTGGGGGGAAATCTATTTGTGTATGAGGTGATGTGCTTGCCTTATGGCTGTACACCGCATGGCAGCTATCAATGGACACCAGCTGTGCTATGCTGAAGCAGGCAAACCTCTAAAACCGGACAGTGGCCCTCAAGGGCTGACTTTGACATGCTTGCCCTAAATAAAGTCTAGCGTAGCCAACTGCCTTCTGGGGCCATTAAAAGAGTTTGCTAGGAAACAGATCAAATAAATGTACTCTAAATGTGAGATGTTGCCTCAGCATTAGTATCAAACCATTTTTAAACTTATTACTTATCTTTACCAGGGGTGTTTAAAAAGTGTTTTAAGTACTGGATGTGATTTCACCGAGAACCTGGAAGCATGTCTTTTTGAAATAATAATCCACTTTGTTTGAGGCGGCCGGATCCTATTACAACTTTACTACTAGCTTGTGTATTACATCTGTTAATGGTAAGCCAACTGATCCAGGTCAAGAGGATCCGGAGCGCTGCAGTTATATTCTCTTTGGCTTCAGGTCAAAAAACAGGGATAATGTTCTTATTCAATTAGACAAACCAGAAACCTATTTTCTTGTTTATCGATTTGCAAATTGCATTTACTTAAGGTTAGCATTAGAAGGCCCTTGGTTAAAGATTACTGTTTTAATGACAGTCACTTACAGTGAGCCCGTAAATTCTCATCAACCTAAACCTGCTTAGCATTGCTGACAAATGGATTACATACACACATGTGTAATTTACACATGTAGAGTACACCTTTTCCTGTATGGCCATCTGAGTAAGAATCATTTTTCTTATTTCACCAGTAAAGTTAAGTCTGTTTGTTTTAAAGTGAGGACATTTTTCTAATCCTCACAAGTTATTTTGCAAGCTGTTAGGGCTTAGCTATAAGGTGTAAATTGAATTTAGGCTTACCGTAGTAATGCTCTGGTAAGGGTTAGGTTTAGGTTTATGTCAGGTTAGGGAATAAACAGGTTGAAAATCACTGAAAATCCATGGACCTCAATGGGAATAAACACAGTCTTCATTACATATAGCAAGACAAGAATGTGTGATGTGTAGCCATGTTTCTGTTACATTTATGAAAATCTTCCAAGAAACATGCTGCATTTTGGGGACTTGTAGGTACTCGGGGTGGACTAAAAGTGGTTCTTTATTTCCAACTTATTCGCTTTCATAGTTCCAATTTTTTTTTTATTTTTTTTTTTACTTCTGCACTAATTTAGTTTTTAAAGAAAACAGTTTTGATCATGATCTTTATTTCTTTGGCAGGAAGATTACTTTAACTGTCGGAAGCAGTTTTATTTTTAGTATAGATATAGCAGAACCCTCTGTGTTCTATCTATTTTAGATAGATAATTTTCATTATCTAATATAGATAGATCATTTTCATTATCTATATACACACATTATTTCATATGTGAAATAATGTGTGTATTGCACAATGCAGTATCAGTTTTAGGATAGCTCTTCATCCTGTTTGATGTATAAATTGATGACAGACAGACAGACAGACAGACAGACAGACAGACAGACAGACAGACAGACACACAGACAGACAGTCAGACAGACAGACAGAAACACAGATCCACAAAATGAACACAAAAGATATTTGCACTCCCAGCTAGATTTTAAGCTTTTCTTTCTTGTCCAAGTATTTA